TGCTGAACTGATTGCTAAAATAAGGAGAAAGTCAGCTAACACTGAACTTCAAAAACTTCCTATTATCCATACATAGAAATTAAAGCTCAGAAATATGAGTTTGCAAGAACATATGACTTACTGCAGGACATATATTGGCCTATCTTAACTGTAAAATGCTGTAATTAATATTTGACATGACTGTAAGACAGTGGTGGAGTAGCTCCCCTCACAAATACACTGTCTTTTTTTCAAGTGAAACAAAGGGGCGACTGAAGAAAAAGTGCTGAGGAAACTGAGCAGTAGCATGCACCCTGCTGGGACTGATCTGCTGTATGAAGCAATTAGTTCTTTAAAATGAAGACTGTTTGAGTCAGTGCATTCAGTGCAAGTCACAGCGCAGGCTTGTATGAGATTATAGAGTTGCTCTTAAAATTATTACTGTAAACTTGTAAAGTGTATCCTGGATTACTTGAATTAGTATAAATACAGGACTGGTGTATTAAAAACAAAACCAAAAAAAAGCAAAATACCTTAGGCTCTTCTCTTCTAGCTTTAATAAATGTAGTCTCTATCTCTGTGATGTCTACCTGGAAAATGAATTCTTTCAGGGATTTAGATTTGTGAGAGACAGCCATTATGCCCATTTGCTTATTTGTTTGCTCTTTACGTACTTCCTATTCTGAATATTTAGAGGACAAAACTATGGTCATTTACCACAATCTTGGTAAACTGTGTAGATTGTGTAAACACTTCAATTTCATCACTTAGCCCTTCAGACACAAGGCAGAATTATTAGCCAATTCTTCAGCATTTTGATCTTACAGATGCTCAAATTAAACTGCATTTCATGCAGGAGCATCAATTGCTATCCTGAAGCTGTGATCTGACCTTCCTTTTCAGGCTCAGCAGCAATGGAAGTGCAAGCAGAGGAAGTTACAGATGCAGCACTCATGTTTGAATTTGAAGGGTAAATCTGACTTGGCAACAGATTTAGGTCATCCTGGCAGGATTGGTTACTGCTTGGCAGGAACCCTCTTTTTTATTGTGTCTCCCCTGCATAAATTGCAAGTATTTGAGGATGTGTTCCAAACTGAATCACTGAAGTGGTGATATTTTATCTGACAAAGAACTGGCACTCCTTAGTAAATCGAGTCACCCGCTATCACAGGCAGCATATAGGAACCCTTTCAAGAGAATTATTAAATTTCTTCTTAAAAAAAATGCCTATGTGTTTATCCCTTCAAATTCTCTCTGCTCTGTCTTGCTTGGTGAGAAATCTTTCTCAATTTCCAGACTTTATTTGTGGCCAGTTAATGTGTCTTTGTTCTTCTGCTGATGTTGTCCATTAATTAAAATTAGCTATTCTTTCCTCTTGGCACGCTTCTTTCAGATCTTTTTGGTAGGACAGATATGTGTTCATGGCTAGAA